CTGCTGTTGGTCAATGTTTACCCTACACACATCTGTAGGGTCAGTCAGTATCCTGGCCACATACCACAACCCAAAGGCATACTTAGGGTTACTGTGATTGTTAAAAGGCTCAACTACCTATCAAAATTAAATATATCGCAGTACCCTTCCAGTCTGGGAGAAGAATGCACTTCTATTTGTCCACTATCTCCACCAGTTTTTTTTTTCTTTTTTTGAATGCCTGATCAATGCTGCCGGGCTTTGTCAAACACATAGGCAGGTTACAGATTGGGGTGGTTGCTATTTTTTTTGTACTGGTCGGTAACTGGTTTGGGGACATACTGAATACTTTTGCTGCCATTGTGTTCTTGCTGGGTGTTAGGTGTGTTCCTATACCTTTAGCCTGGGTTCACGCAGTTGTGTTAAAAATAATAGCGGTGTGTTGAAGAAATTGAATAAAGCTGAAAATCCTTCTAATAGCTTTTATTTCCATCCACACAAATGCATTGGGAACACGACACATTCTATTCCAAATCACAACATGAAGTAAAATAGATCACATTTGTGTTGTTCCTCTAAAAAAATTGAAGAAAAGTGAATATTAGACGGTTCAAAAAAATAGCAGTGTTTGTATTCTTCTTTACAAACTCAAACATTCACTATATAAACTGAAAAATGTTTGAAGATTTTGCTTTCCTTTGTATCACTTAATGAATATTTGGTTGTAGTCGCACTGTTTCTGAGAACTGCTGTACATCTGTGTTGCATGGAGTCACCCAACTTCTGGCCCCTGTGATCAGGTATTCCAGCCCAGGATGATTGGACTACATTCCACAGTTCTTCTCTATTTCTTGGTTTTGCCTCAGAAACTGCATTTCTGATGTCACCCCCACAAGTTTTCTATTGGATTAAGATCCGGGGATTGGGCTGGCCACTCCATAACGTCAATCTTGTTGGTCTGGAACCAAGATGTTGCACGTTTACTGGTGTGTTTGGGGTCGTTGGCTTGTTGGAACAGCCATTTCAAGGGCATTTCCTCTTCAGCATAAGGCAGCATGACCTCTTCAAGTATTCTGATGTATTCAAACTGATCCATGATCCCTGGTATGCGATAAATAGGCCCAACACCGTAGTATGAGAAACATCCCCATATCATGATGCTTGCACCACCATGCTTCACTGTCTTCACAGTGTACTGTGGCTTGAATTCAGTGTTTGGGGGTCGTCTGACAAACTGTCTCCGGCCACTAGACCCAAAAAGAACAATCTTACTTTCATCAGTCCACAAAATGTTGCGCCATTTCTCTTTAGGCCAGTCAATGTGCTCTTTGGCAAATTGTAACCTCTTCAGCACGTCTTTTTTCCAACAGTGGGACTTTGCGGGGGCTTCTTGCAGATAGCTTGGCTTCATATAGGCGTCTTCTAATTGTAACAGTCCTCACAGGGAACTTTACACCTTCTTTGATCTTCCTGGAGCTGATTGTTGGCTCAGTCCTTGCCATTTGACTATTCTTCTATCCATTCGAATGGTAGTTTTTTGCTTTCTTCCACGTCTTTCAGGTTTTGGTTGCCATTTTAAAGCATTTGAGATCATTTTAGCTGAGCAGCCTATCATTTTCTGCACTTCTTTATATGTTTTCCCCTCTCCAGTCAACTTTTTAATCAAGGTACGCTGTTCTTCTGAACAATGTCTGGAACGACCCATTTTCCTCAGAATTTCAGAGAGAAATGCACTGTAACCAGCATGTACAACATTTGCTGCCTTCCTTCCTTAAATAAGGGCAATAATTTCCACCTGTTTTTCAAAGAATGAATGACCTCACTAATAGAACTCCGCACTGCTATTATTTTGAACATGCCCCTTTCAATGAGTGATTCAATTACACAGAATCAGCAGCATGCATGTCATGACTGTTGGGTCTGTTGGATTTCTATTACTCTACTACACCTGCTAGTAAATTATTTGCCATGTAGAAATATCATTTCTACCAAAAACAGTGATTGATCCGGTTAGTGATGTCTGATTGATATTATTTTGAACACAACTGTATATGCGGTGCGGTATATCGCATGTGATTTGCACAAGAACCGCACCGCATTCCTGTGCAAATCACATACGATTTGTGTGCGGTGCGATTGGAGCCATACATTTTGTATGGCTCTAATTGCACCGCACTTGCACCAAAAAGGTGCAGGACCCTTTTTTTGGGTCCTCACTAGAATTGGATCGCATGGGTATTCACATCTATCTGATCCAATTCTGCACATCGCACTGCGCTTTGCAGACCGCTTTCGGGGTGTTGTTAACTTAACATACACACCCGCAGCAGTTCGCATGAACGGGGTGTGATTTTGATGCGGTGCAGAATTTGCACAGAAAACGCTGTGAATTCCGCACCGCATCAGTGTGAACCAGGGCTCAAGGAGGGTGGCCTCCCTCCAGGCATATCTGCCCTCAAACTGTCCAATATTATATACACTCACTGGCCACTTTATTAGGTTCACCTGCTGAGTTGCTTGGTAACACTAACTGCTAATCAGCCAATCACATAGCAGCAACTCAATGTATTTAGGCATCTAAACTTCGTGAAGACGACTTGCTGAAGTTCAAACTGAGCATCAAAATGAGGAAGAAAGGGGATTTAAGTGACTTTGAATGTGGCATGGTTGTTGGGGTCAGACGGGCTTGTCTGAGTATTCCAAAAACTGCTGATCTACAGGGATTTTCACGCACAACCATCTCTAGAGTTTACAGAGAATGGACTGAAAAAGAGAAAATATCCATTGAGTGGCAGCTGTGTGGAGGAAAATGCCTGATTGATGTCAGAGGTCAGAGGAGAATGGGCTGCTGTAACATTCAGATAGCAGGGTCAGAATTTGTTGTAAATAACATGAATGTATCCATCCTGCCTTGTATCAATGGTTCAGGCTGGTGGTGGTGGTGTAATGGTGTGGGGGAGATTTTCCAGGCACTAGCAAGGTGTACCTAATAAAGTGGCTGGTGAGTGTATGTGCTCCAACTATGGAGGATCTCAAAATTTATAGCGCTAGGACTGCAGATAAACTGGGGTGCCGTGAAGTGGCCTCTGCAGCTTACGCATATACTGTATTTGCAAATGTGTGCAAACTAAACCCCTTGTTTTAAAATTCCCAGCTGGTAAGTGAGCTGGGAATTTTAGTTGTTTTAACATGCGTTGCCCTTCCATGTGCTCCTTGCTGCATAGGCCAGTTATGGATTGGAGTGGTTGCCATTTTGTTTATCAAACACAGCACTGGCCTGACATCACCGATAGTTCATTCACAAAAATAAAAGTTCACATAGTGCAGCGGAGCTGTGTGATCCATCAGCCTGTGTATGCGTAACAACAGCCACTGACAGATGCACAGAGGGCGGCAGCTCTGAGTGATCTGTAAGTATTATGAACGATCAGTGCTGCTGCTTAATTCAGAGCAGTAAAAAAGATCACTCAGAGCTGTGTCGCTGGTGATGTATCTGAGGTTGTTTCTACATCATGCAGGGCATCGGCAGATACTTTACACAGAGCTGCAGCTCAGAGTGATATTTTACTTTGATGAATGAACAAGCAGCACTGATTGCTCATTCATAATAGTGAAAGGTCATGCAGCTTAGGGAGGGGACAGAACTCTGTGCTGGCTGGAGGTCCCCCTACAGGAAGGTGCATACAGAGGTGCATTTGGGCGATATCAGGGCCACCAATCAGAATGAGACCAAATGCTATATACTGTACACTTGGCTTCTTGAGAGTTAAAAAATAAATAAATAAAATGAAACCTTTTGCCAAGAATTCCTCTTTGATAAGGTCCCATGCAAAGATAAAATCACTACCTGGACCGCCGTGGCGCTTCCATTCATCTAGAGTGCACGTACAGGCAGTATTTTAGGACTTTAGAAGCAGGGCCAACCTTCCAAGCAGTTTGGAAGACAGAGTGGCTCATGGACATTAAACATGGGAGCAACTGCAGGAGGAGGAGGAGGGTAGATGTTCAAGGTAAGACTGTACCCCAATAAATTTACAAAAGTAACGATCAGAGGCAGATCACTCATCTGCATTCACTGTGCACGAGAGATCGGTCTTAAATGGGTGGAAGGGTTATTGTGCCACCAGGATTAGAAATCATCCTTTGATGGGAGGAAGAGGGTTTCTAATGCATCCGCACTCTTGCCCAACAGTAACAATTATTATTATTATTTTTACAGGATTTATATAGCGCCAACAGTTTGCTCAGCGCTTTACAATATAACGGGAGACAATACAGCAACGATACAGTTCAATAAAAGAGGGTTAGGAGGGCCCTGCTCCTTGAAGCTTACAATCTAAGAGGGAGGGGCTAGTGGTACAAAAGGTAATAACTGTGAGGGATGGACTGGTAGGAGGAATAGAGGATTCCATTATTAGCTGAGGGCAGGATAGGCTTCCCTGAAGAGATAGATTTTCAGTGATCGCCTAAAAGTGAGCAGAGTAGGCGATAGTCTGATAAATTGGGGTAGAGAGTTCCAGAGGATGGGGGAAGCTCTGGAGAAGTCCTGGAGATGAGCATAGGAGGAGGAGAAAAGGGAGCTAGAGAGCAGGAGGTCTTGCGAGGAGTGGAGAGGACGGTTTGGGTGATATTTGGAGACAAGATCGGTGATGTAATTTGGGGCGGAGTTATAAATGGCTTTATACGTTATTGTTAATGTTTTGAATTTTATCCGTTGGGCAATGGGAAGCCAGTGGAGGGATTGGCAGAGAGGGGTGACAGATACAGAACGGTAGTAAGGTGGATGAATCTGGCAGCAGCATTCATGATAGACTGAAGAGGGGATAGCCTGCGATAAGGTAATTGTTTTTATATTGTTATTATATTATTAATACAATACAGTGCAAAGTAGAACTGTTAGCAGTATGCAGCATACAGAAGTGGTGCACCAACTTTGTATCTCAGCATTTATCCCCAGAGTATCACTCTCTGGTAAAAGGATCTACAGTATATGTGCATAGGTTCAGCAATATGAGTGTTACCTGGTGACCCACAATCACAACAGTTATCGTTTCCTGGTGTTTTCTGTACATCTTCAATGATGGCTTTCGTCAAGTCCTCCAAGCTGCTCTCTCCCGTACTCTGATCTCCACGGAATGCCATGTTAAGTGCTTCTTCTTTGCTGTTTGTTAACACTGAAATCCAACTGTGAAAAACAGGATAAAAGAAAATGTTTTTGTGCAGAATTAAGTTTTCTTCAAAACAAATGGCCTGCGCAGAATTTAATTAATCTCTAAAAATAGATTTCTTTTTAAAAGGCATACATAAATGTGCTCAACCTATAGTAAACATTTTTTAAAATATAGTAGGAATAGGTTCCTCATTTAGGGAGGTATAAACCCTAACCAAATAATATTGAAATGCTCTAAAGCACTGTGTATCATCAAAAATGTAAATTTGACTCTTTTAGATCTGTATAAGGTAAGGTAACAGTGAGGAGGATTGACCCATCTGCTGACCTGATACCTGTGTGAGTGGATCCTGGTTCCTGGTTGATGCGATAATATATGAGAAAGGATTTTTGGCCCTGCAGAGTCACTTCATAGAGGTGAGGGAGCATTTCGCCTAGTGTTGGATCCTATTACATTGGGTATTCACCTTCACAATACTAGCACTATTTAAGAACTACAAGACACCTTCCCCGTCTTTAGGTGTATTGGACTTCACGTTTTTGGCTGGAGTATATATAGTTCATGGGACTTGTCGCCATCGGGTCTTTTGCATAATATTTATAACCCATTGTGTTCATATTATTTATGTCACTTATATACCATCTATTTCACATACCCCTGATTTAGGAGTCACTGTTTTGTGATTTCATGTTCATTTATTTTTTCACAAATCTCACTTGAATCCGTAAGTTTCAGCGGATTTCAGTAATAGATGTGTGTTGCAGAAATTACTTTGCAGTTTATTTTAATTTTTCCACACCAGTTTCTGTTTATTCATTTATTTATATTTCATTTTTTCACTTCCATCTATCCTTTATTATATGTTCACTGTGAACACTTACATTTTTGGAGCATTTCCTATAGCAACTAAACAGTTGCAGGATATCATTTGTGTTGTATTTGTATCACTGAGTTTTGGGATCCTCAATAGGATCATATCACTTTTTTTTGGCACAATTCAAAAAGAAGTAATATATATTCATATATTACATATATACATGTATACAAATATATATTTATATATATTATTATTATTATACAGTATTTATAAAGCGCCAATGGTTCGCTCAGCGCTGTACATTACAAAGGGGGACAGAACATGTGACAGAACAATACCAATACAATGCAAAACATGAGGGGATCGAGGGCCCTGCTCTTTCGAGCTTACAATCTAGGAGGGAGGGTATGGTGGCACAGGAGGAGATAGCTGTGGGGGATAGGGGTGGTAGAAAGAGTGGAGGAGGTTGGCAAGTTAGCAGGGGGTGGGGTAGGTTTCCCTGAAGAGGTGGGTTTTCAGGGTGCGCCTAAAGGAGAGGAGAGTAGGTGATAATCTGATGGGTTGGGGGCAGGGAGTTCCAGAGGATGGGTGACACCCTGGAGAAGTCCTGGAGGCGGGCATGGGAGGAGGAGACAAGGGAACTAGAGAGAGGAGGTCTTGTGAGGAGCGGAGTGTGCGTGTTGGGCGGTACTTGGATATTAGGTCAGTGATGTAGTTCGGGGCAGTATGGTGGACAGCTTTGTACGTCAGTGTTAGGATTTTGAATTTGATCCGTTGCGCAATCGGAAGCCAGTGGAGGGATTGGCAGAGGGGGGTGGCGGAGATGGAGCGGTTGGAAAGGTGAATGAGTCTGGCAGCTGTATTCAGGATCGACTGAAGCGGGGATAGCCAGCGGCGAGGCAGGCCAGTGAGGAGGGAGTTGCAGTAGTCGAGTCGTGATATGATGAGGGAGTGGATGAGCTGTTTAGTGGTTTCTGGGGTAGGAACGTGCGGATTTTGTATAAAGTATATTTACTTTGTATTTATGTGTTTTGTTCACCCATAGTCACCAATTTTATTTCTTGGGGTGTACCTAGGTTACACCTTTTACATTTGGGTGGTATTCACTATTATCCACTATTTGGATGTTTTCATGTGCATTCTATTCAATCATTTTTGGTTTATGTATATTTATTTACAAGTTTGTACACTGTCTGGGGTATTAACGTCACAGGAGTTTATCACCTAGAGGTAGCGCAGCACCAATTAGTCTTCAATTTGTCTTTTAGAACTGGCCTCTGGTCCCTGTAAAGCCATTTGCTGTCTATATACACATCATTGCTCAGGGTCAGCTACTAAATGGTGGCAACAACCGAACATGTCTGAGCAATGTGTGTCAGTACGGCTACTTACAACTTCCACAACAACTGGAAAACAGGGACAGTGTTGTCCCCCTATAACAGGAAGTACTCAAACAAGGCAACATCATCAAATTTTCACTTTAATGAAAGCTGCAGATTTAGGCTCCATGTACACTAGCATTTTTTTAAGCTCTTAGAAGCTATTATGATAATTTTTTCTGCTCCTAGAAGGTAATAGTGTTACCCTATGTGTCCATGCACACTATTTTAAGCTAGAAGCCTTTTTCAAGGTTCAGCGTTTAGGAGTAGATTAAAAATTATGTTTGTAGAGTTTTTGGGAGAATTTTCTTGGCAGAAAAAAAAAACTAATCGCTAAACTCTTCTAAATGCTATTAAAACACTCCTAACAGCTTTTTTTCAAGCTTTTTTTTATGTACTGTAAAAGCGCTAATAAAACTCTAACGTTCCAAAACACTTAAACGCTACTACCAGTCGGCACAAAAACGCTGTTGCGTTTTTTTATCCAGTGTTGTTTTCTAACGTTTTCTGAGCTTATAAAAACCGCTAGTGTGCAGAGTGCCTTAAAGAGAATGAAAATGTCTTTTGAAATTACATTTAAAAGTTAAAGATAAGAGACTTCAGTGATTAGATTTACAACTACTTTAAAGTGGTTGTAAACCTCAGACATGAAATATGAACAAAACATATCCCTCTATAGTGTGCGCTTGTCTCACTCCAGAGTACTAAGTGTCATTTCTGCCTGCTGCCTCCATGCTCTGCTATCAGCATGAGTCACTTCTGACAAGTTTTCCTGACACCAAGAGAAAAATAGGGACAGGGGAGGGACCTCCAGCTGATTGACAGCCTAAGCTCTGTTCCTGTGTGCTGTGTGAAGGGGGTGTGTACCTTCCCTCCAATCAGCTCTCCTCACTGATATAACTTCAGATCTCCGCCCCCTTGTTTTCAAAGCTGAGAGATCCGGTTTAAATTCTGCACTTTGAAGGGATGTAGAGAAGAGATGACTGCAGATTAACAGGTACAACTTATGTAGGAGGATTTGCTTCATCTGAGGCCAGTTCACTGGGTATATGTGAGAGTTTACAACCACTTTAATCTGCTTCTCACATATATATGCCTTGCTTCATGTTTAATGGGGTAGAACATAGATATACTGTTCCTGTTATCTCACAGACAACATTTTGCCTTGCAGACTCTGAAGGTGTCTTTTATGCAGCAGTGGTTGAGCAAGGAAGTCGTAACAAGTTATATTCTTGACAAAGTACCCCCCCCAAGATCTTATATGTAATCCCTTAATTCTGCTGCTAGGGGACTGGGCAGCAACAACACTCCTTCCTGCTCACTGGCCCTCCAGCTTTGCCAAGCTGTATGTGAAATGTAGGTACAGGCAGAGTCCATGAGTAGGATAGAGCAGCTTTCTCAACCAGGGTACCTTGGCAAAATTTCTAAAAACTTACCAAAACTTGTATACAAGCCAGCAGGTGGAACAAGCCTGCCTTTTAGTTACACAAAGCCACAGGTTTTCATTGTGCACCATTACGACCTTCTAGCCGCCAGCGCCCTGACAACCAATGACATCATCAGTTGATAAGGAGGATGTCAGCTGTGTGCACAGCATCCTAGCTGCCCCTACCCTTCCCTGCCCCTCTCCATCAGTGCTGGGGTCACATTAGCTCAGTGATGGAGAAAAACTGAGGGAGAAGAGAAACATCGGAATACTAGTCAGTACCAGTGTGCAAAAGTGTATTTGCTTTGGAAGAATAAATCACCTCCAATGTTGGGTGTTCTATGTGTGTGGATATTGCTCTGTTATATAAAACTATTAGAATAGTTTTTCACATTCTATTTTAGAATGGAATGCCTGAAGACTGTCCATAGTTTTAAAGGGTGCCTTGACCAAAAAAAGGATGAGAAACTCTGGGATAGAGCACCAAGAGGCTTTAGTGAAATTGGTACAATACAGCAAAAGAGAAGCCTTGAAAAAATTCATGCAATAAAGCCTTATGACTAAGCTCAGTTGCTCGAAACGCACCAAACCTTCTCTTTTAGTGTAACATGGCATTTCCAATAAAGCCTCTCAGTGCTCTATTCCTGCTTGTGGAATCTGTTTCTGCATATATTCCCTGAAGAGCTGTGGAATATTTTTGTAACTGTAATTATACAGAAAGGATAGATAGATAGATAGATAAATAGATAGATAAAGAGAGATGTACGTTTGCAATAAAGTGACAGCTCAGATTTGAAAATGACACTCCCATGGCTAAAGTAATGTTCACAACCTTGTGTTAAAGCTTTGTGAATTGAGCCTGTGTTGGAGGTACCACCGTGATTGCTGGGAAGGTAGATAGTACCCCCCCCAAAAAATGTTTTTTTGTAACATACTTTCACGTAAACATATTTTTATAAAAGGAGTCTAAATCAGGAATTGTAAACAAGGAAGTACTTTATAAATGACTTTAAAAAGATGACTGAGTCTCTGAAAATGACATGGACTCACCTAAATAAAATATCCAGACATCTTTACAAATGATCTTTTATCAATCAGATTTCTTCAAGAAATGAAGCACAGCACAATTTCACAGCACTGCTGTCTTTCAGCAGTGACTTTCTTTGCAGCTCTTAGCAATCAGTCACATAAAATCTAAGAACCACAAAGGACGTCGGAGCTGGAAGCCGGTAGGTCTGAATAGGGAGAAGATAGCTATATAACATCATCAGTCCATCCCCTCATGCCAGGGTACTAGGTGTAATCCTAGACTCCCATCTGTCCTTCCAGCCCCAGATCCAATAGCTGACAAAATCATGTAGACTTCACCTCCGCAACATCTCCAAGATATGACCGTTCCTAACCCCAGAAACCACTAAGCTACTTATTCATTCCCTTGTCATGTCACGCCTCGACTACTGTAACTCCCTCCTCATTGGCCTACCTCATCGCAGGCTATCCCCACTTCAGTCTATCATGAATGCTGCCGCCAGACTCATCCACCTTACTAACCGTTCTGTATCTGCCACCCCTCTCTGCCAATCCCTCCACTGGCTCCCAGTTGCCCAACGAATAAAATTCCAAACTCTAACAATGACATATAAAGCTGTCCACAACATTGCCCCAAATTACATAACTGATCTTGTCTCTAAATATCACCCAAACCGTACACTCCGCTCCTCCCAAGACCTCCTACTCTCTAGCTCCCTTATCTCCTCCTCCCATGCTCATCTTCAGGACTTCTCCAGGGCGTTCCCCATCCTCTGGAACTCCCTACCACAATCTATCTGACTATCGCCTACTCTACTTACTTTTAGGCAATCACTGAAAACCTCTCTCTTTAGGGAAGCCTATCCCGCCCTCTGCTAATACTGGAATCCTCTACGCTTCCCACCACTCCATCCCCCACAGTTATGACCTATTGTACCATTAACCCCTCCCTCCTAGATTGTAAGCTCCAAGGATCAGGGCCCTCAAATCCCTCTTGTATTGAACTGTATTGTTACTGTATTGTCTCCCACTATAATGTAAAGCGCTGAGCAAACCGTTGGCGCTATATAAATCCTGTATAATAATAACACTCCTCTAACACTCCCACTCTGATTGAAGCAGAGCTATACTCATCCCACTCCAGCGTTAAAATCTCCTGGAGCTCCCTCGCTGGCAGCAAACATCTTCATCCTCTGATCTTCGTCCATTTTGATTGGCAGGGCTGAGATAACGTCACTCCTGTGCAGTCATGGGAGTTTTCATTCATCTTGGCAGATGCCGGAAGTGCACAATACAAACAAGCAGGTAAGAATAATTAAATGCAGAAGAGACATAGTCGAGGCTTATTTACTAAAACTGCATGGTGCAAACTGTGGTGCGGCTCTGCATAGAAACCAATCAGCTTCCAGGTCAGATTAACTGAACAAGCTGAAGTGGGGCAGCACAGTGGCTAAATGGTTAGCACTTCCGCCTGGCAGTACTAGGGTCGTTGGTTCGAATCCCAACCACGGCACCACCTGTCTGGAGTTTGCATGTTCTCCCTGTGCCTGTGTGGGTTTCCTCCGGGTACTCCGGTTTCCTCCAACACTCCAAAGATATGCTGGTAGGTGAATTAGCTCCTGTCTAAATTGGCCGTAGTATTTGTATGTATGAATGTGAGTTAGGGACCCTAGACTGTACACCCCTTGAGGGTTAGGGACTGATGTGAATGTACAATATATATGTAAAAGTGCTGCGTAAATTGACGGCGCTATATAAGAACCTGAAATAAATAAGTTAGAAGTCAATTGGCTACCATGCACAGTTGCACCAGTTTTAGTAAATCTCCCCCATTGTGTCCATTCTGCATTAGAAAGCCTGCCTGTTTTCGGTCTTTTAAGTAAAGTTCCACTTTAAGGTCTGAATAGGTGAGTAATTCCACTCCATGCCACATACCAAACATATATTATCTGAATTGGCCTGGTGGGAAAATTCCCCCCTAACCCCCAGCCCAGTCCTCCCCTGGCCTGTACCAATCATTCTGCACTCTGACAGTAACAGGGTTCTCTGATAACGTGGGATCCCATAGGAGCTGCATGGTTTTCTATTGCTAATTATACCCTTGACAGAGGTTACTGGGAGTGAGACAGGCAGAGCACAGGCAATTACAGAAACAGCTTTTCAATTCACCATTATACTACGAAATAAATTAACAGAGCAGCGAAGCCTCAGGGAGGTAACACGTTCCCTTATGAGGTTTTCTATTACATTTACTCTCTTCATCTCCACAGTTACTTTACACATGATCCCATATAAGGCTCACTTACGCTATATAATCCTGCTCATCTTCTGCCTGAAAGTGGTATGTTCTGTTATCTGAAAAGCAAAAAAAAAAAAAAGAAAAAAAAGTGTAAATGCATTCCATAATGACTGTCTGCAGATTCCAGTTACAAAACAAACACTATTATTCACCCTCATCGTTCTATTATTAGGAAATACTGGTCAGATGGAAATTCTATTTAAACAAGAACTCCAGCAAAATATAGCTTAAAAAAATCAATAGCCAATTGAAACATAAAATAAACAGCAGCTTTGGTTGAAGAGAAAAAAAAAAAGAAACAGAAAAAAGTATTTACGGAATTTTGGATAAAAAACTAATTAAACTTAAATAAATAATGGCTGTGTGTAAAATACATTTTTCCCCACTGCTATCAATCTGTCAGCTAGTAATAAAAAAATATACAAGCAGGGTATATAATAATCCAGTGTTCTAAAAATCCTTATGTGCGCGTAGCCTCCCTAGCGGTCTGATTCTGTCAGTATTTCTGTGCTCAAAGCGGTACATTTTTTTGCATGGAAACATGTTTTTTTTTTTTTTTTTTAGTAGGCCTGTACTTTTTAGGAATAACTCACTGAAATCTGTCCGAACAAGAGTCTAGTAAACATCCCGGGTATGTTAAAATTTGAAACACGAAATCATAAATTATAATGTATTAAATAATTAATTTAAAAAATAATAACATAATAATAAATTTAATTCAATAATATAATCAAACCAAAAACATTGAAATGTGAAATATAGCGCCAAGTTTGCACATCACTGAGCAAAGTCGCAGAATCGTTTTCAGTGTCTGATGAGGAATTTTCCCCACGAATCATTATCACTCAATTCTGCAAGTGGTTCTAATTTACTATCGCTGTTCTCTAGCCGGTCTAAAACCGCGTCTGACCTAAAGGGACGCTCCTTGGACGCCATGGACGTTTCTCAGTTTCCAGGCAGAAAGAACAGTAAAAATGCAGGCAGGACGCAGGACAAAGCACTCGGGACACAATGTATGTGAAATGGTTTGATACAGGAATGTTTTACCATGTGATTTTAGCGAATGTCACTTTTTCACATTTTTAAATTTCCCGGCGTTCAGTCTCCCGTACATCCCGACGCTCACAGGGACCGGAACCCAGAAGACGGATGCTGGCATCGGCCGGAGGACATTACAGGGGACACTGCAGGGGGGACATTGCGGGAGCGTAGGACAAGGTAAGTGAAGAGATCCCGGAGCAGCGCTGCAGGGTATTCCTGAGTGTAGCTCGGGGTTATCACTTGTGGTGCTGAAACTTTACCCCGAGATACACTCGGGAATACTTCCAAGGAGGTTAAAGCAGACCTTCACTTGAAAGTGAAAGTACCGTTAATCCAATCCCGTCCCCCACCCCCTCCTCTACCATATTTGACATTTGGTGGAACAGCAGAGGTCTGTTCAGACCCCTGACATTTTACCAAAGAACCCCAATGGGGCTCCTAATAAAAACATAAAAAATGACATTGTAAAAAATTAAATATATAAATAACATGGTAAAAAATTCTAAAAAATTAAAATAAATAAAACAAAATAAAACTACCAGAGTCACCAAGGTCGCACTTGTTAACGGGCCCTAGCATTCCGCCAATGTGGGGGGGTTCCAAGACAGCAGGAAGGGGGCCTGCCGCAAAACATGTGAAAGGGTCCCACGATGGGAGTAATGGGCCCCGGATTCAGTGGGAAGGGCCCTGGCCGGGGGTATGGGAGGCCCTTTACGGTTTCTTGCACTGGGCCCCTGAAAGGTTCTAGTTACGCCTCTGGTGTAACCTCTTGCTGAAGGTGAACCTATCCTTTAACACAATGATGAACAATCATCCGAAAAGTGTCTCAGTCTTACAATCTGCAAGGAACCAAGATTCCTTGTTCATGTCCACCTTTACATTATAAAGTCAGAAACTGATTTGAGCAGCTGCCGTTTTTGGTTTCCTGCATTTGATGCAGACGCGCGCTGGGGGTCTTCAGCTGCCTCAGGCGAGTTTGGCCTGCTGTGCCTTTAAGCAGAATGGGGCTACCTGACCCTAGGTTCACATCTGTGTGGGTGGTGCCGCTGCGGATTCGCACGAAAATCCATGCAGCCGCACCACCACCACAGAGAATTGCGGACCCGCAGGTGGGTATCATTACTTCTAATGGCACGCCACCCGCACTGGAAAAAGCAACCGTACTGGGAACCGAGGTTCCCGTGTGGGCTGCATTTTCGAAAGAAGTGCCGGGGATTTTTTTCCCTGTGTGTCCCAGGGCACGGGAGTCCATTCAAATGAATGGGTTCTCATGCCCATGCAAAACGTGTCCCGCACGGCCGCATAGATGTGAACCGGGCAGGCCTACTCCCAATGTCTAACTTTCTATATATATGACACAGGTAGGGTGCTCATATAGTTCAGTTACAGGCCACACTTAGCAGAGGTACCTTGGTGCCACAGTATGACTTTATATACTGTATATTTGTAAACGCATGTAACCAATCCTCATTTTGTAATCTAGATTTTTGAAATGGTTTATAATTCAGTTTTGGCTAGATTGAGCACTGGGGAATTCTGTTTACTCTCTCTGCGGATAAACCTGAGGGGCAATAGTACATTGTAGAACAATAAAAAAAGATACATACGTGATATCAGGTCGAAGGACTTCTTTTCATCAGCGTTGGGTTTCACCTGGCAGGTGAGCAGGTTCAACTTTGCAGGGGGCCGGTTAGACTGGAAAAATGACAATACTTTATGAGCGCTACATCCCAGCAGTGGTACTATGCAATACAGTACAGAAAGAAAGCAGACTTTAAAAGGTAGAAGGGCCAGGACAATTCCATTCTTTTCTGGAGCAAACACCATTGTAAATAAATGACAAAGTCTTGCAAAAAAGAATTTTGTAAAAAAAAAAAAAAAAGTGTAAAATTCAAACATTCCTTCTCTCCATTAGCCTGAATTTGTTGAAGATCTTGTGCAGTGGATTAGAGTAAATTAGCCCATAACTAGACAATATCCTTGTGCTTTAAAAATAATCCATACACATCCACTACTTAATGGCCCTGTAATCTATTTTTTTATGAAACGAACATTTGTAACATCCCCCGCCAGCTTTCTAATCTCTCTTTTCTCCCTCATTTCTGCTTGTGTTGGAATGGGCAGTGCACGTTAGTTGCGGTCATGTGCATACTATGAATCCCAGTTGTAACATTTGTAAATTCTTCCGCAGGCTTCCTAATCTCTTTTCCCCCTCACTTCTGTTTGTGTTGTAAAGAGCAGTGCACATTAGTTGCAGTCATGTGCACACTACAAATTCAAGTGAGCAACAGAGGGAGGCTACATGCCTACATGCGGTGGGACCATGGCGAATTAATGTAGCCACCCCCTTACAGGAACTCCAATCAGAGCAGCAAAATAGAGGAATCTGGAGATTCCAAAGAGACTGAGAGCAACAGAAGGGACTTGGCTGAGTTAAAGAAGAACTCCGGGCAAAACTTTCACCTTCCAATGCAGTGGGACTTTGTCTGCACGGCCTGGGTTAAAAGCTCATTTTGTCCAGAGGTGCAAGGAAAAGCTATACTTACCCGATCCTTCAGACAACTGCGCTCCCCCATGTCCAGTGGTGGATGGTTCCTGCTGTCCTCACGTCCAGAGCCAGTCAGGGGAGAGGGGGCAGGAGTGGCAGGGACCACTCGTACGCTTGGAGGATTTGCAGATTAGGCAAGTATACCTCCGCTCTGCAATTCCTTCAATAAAAACAAGCAGTTAACCCATTCAGTGCGGCCGCAGCCCAGAGTTCTTCCTTAAGACAACATAAAAAGAATTTCTCTTTTTTTTGTAAACCATAGTTTGCTGTCACTTTAAGTGTTGTCATCTCGAGTCCATTTTTTACCAGGGATACTTTCTGTATGGAGCCTGTATATTCTCCATATTTGTGGTTTCCCCCAAAATCCAAAAACACACTAGTTTCTGAAAAAAAATGGCCCAAGCATGGATATAAGCGGCTGTGCTGTAGTGTTGTAGGGAAATTGAACTGTTCCCCTGAAGAAGTGAATGAGATTAGGCCAATGATCTCTGCAAAAATGTAGATGGTATAAAATTCAATAATAAAAATAAATCACAAGTAGTGTGTGTAACTATAGTAGGTTTCTCCTAACAATCATACATTAGTTTATTCTGCAATGCGTATATATATATATATATATATATATATATATATATATATATATGTACAGTCAGGTCCATAAATATTGGGACATCTACACAATTATAACATTTTTGGCTCTATACACCACCACAATGGATTTGAAATGAAACGAACAAGATGTGCTTTAACTGCAGACTGTCAGCTTTAATTTGAGGGTATTTACATCCAAATCAGGTGAACGGTGTAGGAATTACTACAGTTTGCATATGTGCCTCCCACTTGTTAAGGGACCAAAAGTAATGGGACAATTGGCTTCTCAGCTGTTCCATGGCCAGGTGTGTGTTATTCCCTCATTATCCCAATTACAATGAGCAGATAAAAGGTCCAGAGTTCATTTCAAGTGTGCTATTTGCATTTGGAATCTGTTGCTCTCAACTCTCCAGATGAGATCCAAAGAGCTGTCACTATCAGTGAAGCAAGCCATCATTAGGCTGAAAAAACAAAACAAACCCATCAGAGAGAGAGCAAAAACATTAGGCGTGGCCAAAACAACTGTTTGGAACATTCTTAAAGAGAAGGAACGCAACGGTGAGCTCAGCAACACCCAAAGACCCGGAAGACTACGGAAAACAACTGTTGTGGATGACCGAAGAATTCTTTCCCTGGTGAAGAAAACACCCTTCACAACAGTTGGCCAGATCAAGAACACTCTCCAGGAGGTAGGTGTATGTGTGTCAAAGTCAACAATCAAGAGAAAACTTCATCAGAGTGAATACAGAGGGTTCACCACAAGAACCATGTAAACCATTGGTGAGCCTCAAAAACAGGAAGGCCAGATTACCAAACGACATCTAAAAAAGCCTTCACAGTTCTGGAACAACATCCTATAGACAGATGAGACCAAGATCAACTTGTACCAGAGTGATGGGAAGAGAAGAGTATGGAGAAGGAAAGGAACTGCTCATGATCCTAAGCATACCACCTCATCAGTGAAGCATGGTGGTGGTAGTGTCATGGCGTGGGCATGTATGGCTGCCAATGGAACTGGTTCTCTTGTATTTATTGATGATGTGACTGCTGACAAAAGCAGCAGGATGAATTCTGAAGTGTTTTAGGCAATATTATCTGCTCATATTCAGCCAAATGCTTCACAACTCATTGGACGCCGCTTCACAGTGCAGATGGACAATGACCCAAAGCACACTGCAAAAGCAACCAAAGAGTTTTTTAAGGGAAAGAAGTGGAATGTTATGCAATGGCCAAGTCAATCACCTGACCTGAATCCGATTGAGCATGCATTTCACTTGCTGAAGACAAAACTGAAGGGAAAATGCCCCAAGAACAAGCAGGAACTGAAGACAGTTGCAGTAGAGGCCTGGCAGAGCATCACCAGGGATGAAACCCAGCGTCTGGTGATGTCTATGCGTTCCAGACTTCAGGCTGTAATTGGCTGTAAAAGCATTTGCAACCAAGTATTAAAAAGTGAAAGTTTGATTTATGATTATTATTCTGTCCCATTACTTTTGGTCCCTTAACGAGTGGGAGGCACATATGCAAACTGTTGTACTTCCTACACCGTTCACCTGATTTGGATGTAAATACCCTCAAATTAAAGCTGACAGTCTGCAGTTAAAGCACATCTTGTTCGTTTCATTTCAAATCCATTGTGGTGGTGTATAGAGCCAAAAGTGGTAGAATTGTGTCCATGTCCCAATATCTATGGACCGGACTGTATACACACACACATATATATATATATACTTACACACATTGAGCATTATTAGTGTACATTTGAGCATTATTGTTGACTGGAGCCCTGTGCAGGGGACGTGTCAGACTGCTGGAGATCCAAACCACTGTGTTCTGTAGTGAGCAGCAGTCCAGATCCCCATTGTGCTGCCAGCACAGGAAAGTTTAGGAACGGTTACAGCATGCTAATGTGTTAAAAAAAAAAAAAAAAAAAGAGAAAAAAAAACCCCCCACAGACACATCCTTTACTGTTATGCAGCCTGACTGTATTTGGGTTACAGAAATTAAAGGTTCCAATGGCCTTTCAAATAAGTGTACTTTAAACTATAATGGAAGAATGACTACTTGGGACTTCAGCATAAAAACTGTAACACATTAGTGGGTCTGAGATGAGACTACGATAGAGATTTATTCTGCTTGCTCTGCCAGGACCAGCAAAGCCGCCTCTCTCTCATATAGATTTTGTGTGAGACATCCTGGCACACACATCATACAGATTCAGGAAATGCCATTATTTTCTATGGCAGCTCCCCACCTGCAGCAAAATGCATGCGCCAGGCTGGCTCTCAGAAAATCGCTCTGAGGGTTTAGCATTATTTCAGGCACACTATTTTATTATTGTTATTAATGCTTAGAAGTTACTGAATTTTTATTTAAAAATACACCCATTGTTTAAGGCAGAAGGTATTTTCATCTCTAAATTTCCATCCCAAATAAGTGGATGCGTCTGAAACGCTGTTGTTTAGCAAAAATATTGCTTAGATAAATGTCTACTTGACCATCATGTAAGCAGCTGTTAAATCCCAATTGAAGTTACAAAAATACCACAGCGATCAGATATATTTTGTACTCCATTCTCATCGTGTTCAATCTCCATTTTCATAGTCTTGCCTCCACTGTCCACTTGACTCCTGTTACAATAGCTGTACAAGAAGTCTACAAATGAGTGGACTGTCTGATTGTACACAGTACGGATGTTCGAACCTCAGTATTCCACACACATACATACACAACTAATTCAAACCTCTTCAAGTGAACATTTTACACGCATATTTGCACGCATATGCACATACATGCATAAAAAAAAACGGACCAGCAACTCAGATTTATTTTTTAACTCATCTATATACAGTGCATGATTACACACGTGTGTACATATATATTGAAAACAATGGGCTGCATTTAGATTAGTAAAAAAAAAAATGCAAGCCTGTATGTCTGGAAACCCTTAGTATTTTTGCAACAGTGTGAAAGAAGTCTAATTGGCATCATTTTTTACCTACAGCACTCCACAATTCAAATCTATGTGAGACACCACCCACCTTCTAGACAATAGAAGTCTGTGTGAGAACACTTGCTAAGGGGAGTGGATAGCACTCAGCTCTGCTAGCACAGGGCACTGCAATTTAATGACTGGAAACAGCAGCTTCACTGAGAAAAGATATTAGGCCAGGGCTTAAAAAAAATCTGTTTTGAATCTAGGAGCTAGCTAAAAAAAAAGTTAGGAGCCAGTTTTTTTTTTTTTTTCAGTAGTAGTGTGGGTTGTCAGCGCTTGGTGCAAGGCAAGTAATTTGCAAATGACTTGTGAGGTGCAAAGTGCAGAATGCAGAAAACACAGAGTGCAGGATACCTGAGAAGGGTACAGGTCACCGCATGACATGGGGTGCAGAAAGCAGGGCATGGGGGGCAGGGTGTAGGACAGTAATGCAATCCCCCACTCTCCCTGTGTCCTCCTGCATATCCGGTCATCTTCCCCAGCAGTGTCTGAGAGCAGAGTGGATGCAGAGGGCAGCTTGTGTGCATAAAACAACATGTCCCTCCCTGGCTGGCTCCTTAG